TGGACAAAGTGCGGAGGGGTAAGTAGCAGCAGGAATTAATAGATTTTTCACAATTTGGTAATTAGTAAAACATGCTTACATTGCCATGAAATGACATGCAGAGCAATGGTCAGTGTACTCAAATGCAAGCTTAATGATCTACCAAGCACTCAGGCTGCATTTTCAACATTACTTGTGTCTCAATATGATTTTAATAAATATTTTTCATAGGATATACACTATATACACACATGTGTATATAATTTTCATTTGTTTCCATTAAATGTGTGACCCTTCCAGCTTGCTTTTTTTTTTTTTTTTTTTTTTTTTTGACAGGCAGAGTGGACAGTGAGAGAGAGAGACAGAGAGAAAGGTCTTCCTTTACTGTTGGTTCACCCTCCAATGGCCGCCGTGGCCGGCGCATCGCGCTGATCCGAAGGCAGGAGCCAGGTGCTTTTCCTGGTCTCCCATGGGGTGCAGGGCCCAAGCACTTGGGCCATCCTCCACTGCACTCCCTGGCCACAGCAGAGAGCTGGCCTGGAAGAGGGGCAACTGGGACAGAATCCGGCGCCCCGACCGGGACTAGAACCCAGTGTGCCTGTGCCGCAAGGAGGAGGATTAGCCTAGTGAGCCGCGGTGCCAGCTCCAGCTTGCTTTTTAAAGTTGGACCACATTTTGTAAGACATTATTTGATCTCTTGGTGCCCGGTGTGGAAATAGCACACATTCTCTTTATGAGAATGGTGGTGCTGCGCCAGTTACTCGTTCACAGGTGAATTTACATTATATGATGTGAGTAATTCAGTGTCTTTCTCTGCAAAAGTCAATGAAGCATTTTAAAGCACCAGGATAATACGTTCTTTAAATTTAGGTTTTTAGGTTTCATAGGGAATCTCAGCCCTTCAAGTAGCTGGCAGAGTAGACAAACTCGGGCTTCACCCACCATCGTACTTCTGTTGCTTCAGTCTTGGATGTTTTATTCTATTCACTGGGATCCCTCAGTCTACCTCTCACTGGGCAGGGAATTAGGCGCCGTTGGTAGTCACCTGGGAAGCCACAAGATGGAAAACGGGTATTGAAATGTGAACAATACCTGCCATGCTATGGGAGAACCCAGAAGGAGCTGTCAGAGGCAGTGGTGACCAAGCTGAAACCTTGTGGATACACTGGAGTTTTCTTAGCCAAAGCTGACACATTTGGGGAGTTTTAAAATGATGAAACAGATTTACAAGGTAGAAAGGGATTTCTTGTCAAAGGGCAGGAAAGCAGCTTAGTAGGCCTGGATCCCCGAATATGACCAGTTCTTCCACTCCTGGGTTGGTGAACATTCACACGTGTGCCCTCTCCTGTACCCCTCCCCAGCTTCCTTGAATCTCACATCTCCAGATGTGAGATGCTCGGGAATGAGAATGGTGCTGCTTTGTTGCATTATTGTTTCCGTTTGGGCAGAGCTAATACACATAATAGATCAGTGTGGTGCTTCCTATGTTCCCAGGACCTTCCTGCAAATCAGACTGTCACATTACGTCTCAGCGTCTCAACGAGAACATAATTATGCCATTTAGCACATAGCAAAATTTCCAGTGAAATCAAATTCCTGTCTGCTTCTTGGTGTTGAATATCTAGCCATGGCTCCCCACTCATCCCAGCTGACTGCAGGATGCATGGTTGGAGTGGAGTTTAAAAGGGAAGCCCGTGAGAACAGGGGCCTTTCTTCCATCTTTCCCTGTTTTGCTCGGAGAACACCTTGAGAGAAAGGAGAATGGATTCTATTTGTCTTTGAGTTTGCAATGTTTATATATATTGTTTAATTCAGGAATTTGCAAAGTGAATGATTTGCTGATCATACTCCAGAATACGATCCCGTGTGATCTGTTCTAGCAGCTGAAAACACACGGCTTGCCACCGCCTTGCTCCTGTGCCCCTTTTACTGCGTTGTTTGAGCAGCACTCATGAGTTCTGAGCTTTCTAGGCAGCCATTAAGAACTTCAAATGCGGGGCCGGCGTGTGGTTCAGCGGATAAAGCTGCCACCATAGATGCCAGCATTCCATATGGCCCCAATTTCTATCCGGCTGCTCCGCTTCTGATCCAGCTCCTTCTAATGGTCTGGGAAAGCAGAGGAGGATGGCCCAAGTGTTTGGGCCTTTTCACCCACGTGGAGACATTGAAGAAGCTCCTGCCCAGCCATCGCAGCCATCTGGGGAGTGAACTAGTGAGCGGATGGAAGATTCTCTCTCTCTCTCTCTCTCTCTCTCTCTCTATATATATATATATATTTCAGATTTTCAAATAAAAATAAATCTTAAATTTAAAAAAGAACTACAAATGCTTGTAACTGAAACTTAAGTACAACTATTATTATATATCCATATATGGGAATTCATTGGTATTTATGTGATATTACCAAAATCCTATTGAATTAAATGCATCATTGGAAACTGTAATTTAAATCTTATTATCCTATATTTAAATTTTAAAAAGTGCCATGAGCATAGTAACACTGCTTCTCTATCCATCAGAATATTTAATATTTTGCTTTGAATTACTCAATCAAAAATTAATTTCAAGTGAAATTCTCTTTGGAGAAAATAGCTAATGACTTATAAAAGTTAAAAAAAAGGTTTAATTAATTGCTTTCTTTCTGGTGAAATTTATTTTCTCAAGCAGAAATACTTCAAAAGATTTTTTTTTAAAAAATATAACTTTATAACTTTGTATCATTGCATCAAAGCCTACTATGGTAAAGCAATTATCAGTTTTAAGAACCTAAAGTTTAAACTGTGGAATCCTTATAATTTCCCAGTACCAAGAGTATTCATTGAAAGACACAGCATCAGTTATAAGCCATTTCCTTTGTCCAGGTAGATTACATAAATAGATATAGAAGTAATGAGTAAATACAAGAGGGCGAACAGTATTTTAATTGAGTTTGGATTTAAGTGGCTTTTCATCTACACATGGAATAAATAGACTAAAGGTTTGCTATGTTGCTGACCTTTTACTTGGTAGACCCACGTGACACTGAATCTTATGAATGAATTTTGTGAGGGTAGACAAACAGGAAGAGATCTATCTAGATCTTTTATGTAAAGGGAGTGAAAATATCTTTTGTCAAAATAGATTTTTATTGGCAGGAATTGGTTCAGAAATTAATGTGTGGATTATATGGTTCCTGCCAAGGAGGGTTTATGACTTCTCTCCCAATCTTAATTGGCGATGGAACACTTCATGTGCAGGCCATTTTATGGTGATAATGTGGGACTCTCCGAGAAACATTGGCAGACTTAATAAGAGAAACTAAAATAAGAATCCTTCTTAAATTAGTTATGGGATGAATAAATATTGATTTTCTTTATAAGTTTGTCATCTATCTTTTTTCTGTTTTGAGGAAAATGTAGAAAGTTTGGAAAAGGTGCATTCATTTCAAGTTTGAGTGACCTCCATCCAAACCTCCCATCTGAACTTGCACCCAAATACCTATCCCAAAACTTTCTGTAACCATTCTTTTCTTTTCTCAAAAAAATACAATCTTTTTTTTTATTATTTGGAGTTTCAGTTCAGCATCTAATTATTGTGAATAGATCTGAAAAATAACAGAAAGAAAAAAGGCTTTTTTAGAAATTATTTTGAGATGCTGAGATAGAGGTAGAAACAGGGATCTCCTACCCACTGGTTAAATTCTCAGTTGGCTGTAACAGCCAGGGCTGGGCCAGGCCAAAGCCAGGAGGTAGAGCTTAATCCAAGACTGTCACAAGGGTGGCAGGGACAAACTAGCTGAGCCAGTACCTGTCGCCTCCTAGGATGCACATTTTAAGAAGCTGGAGTCCAGAGTAAGCCAGGACTTCAACCCAGGTGTTCTGAGAACTGGATGTGAGCATCCTGAACAGCATTATAACCACTGTACCAAACACCCTCCCCTAAATGTCTCTTTTAGAACTTTAATCAAAACAGGATGGAAAAAGAAAAAAAAAAAAAGAATGCCAGACTTAGAGCAGAGAAAACAGGAATAAGAAAAACTACCAGTTGTGGCTTTTATAGGAAGTAAGTGGATAATGTTTTTGATATACCCTGTGAGCTACAAATGATAGCATACATATTCTTTATCATCACTGTTACTGGCCACAAATGTACAACATGCACAGAAAGTGCTTCACCACGTTCACCACAATCTTTGTGCTATTTTACTCTGTTGGCTATACAGTGTCCAATCAACTAAAATTGTTTTTTTAAAGTTGAAAAAAAATAAAGGATGGAAAATGTTCCATTTTAACTCTCAGTCACTGCCACAGCACTAACCCCACTGAGTCCTGCCTGATCTTACTGGGTTGATTAAGTCCAAGAGCGCCTTCCAGGAGGGATGTTGACTCTTTTGCCCAAGACCAAGATGTCAGTGAAATCCTCTTCATGCCCTGTTTATGTTCCATGGTTAGATGTTGCCATCGTTCATGTTAATAATGTCCCCTTTTTCTTATTCTGTACTCCAAAACCACATGGGACAGCATCTGGTGGTGTTTCAAAGGCCTATGTGCATTTTATTTTGAGAATGCTTCATTCATTCAGTCAATCACTTAACAGAAACTGCATGGCATATTTACTTAAGGGGAAATAGTGAGGTGATGAAGTCTAGTTTTATTATTTTGTCCAAAATTTTATTTATCATGTATTCACTCTCTACTCCTTCCCCCCAAAAGGGACTGGAATCCATGTGTTCAGAGAGATGTGTCCACAGCAGCTCAAAATTGTAATAAATCCCGATTTACCCCATGAACATCTCAACATTTCTTCTGTGTTCATTATGCCTCCTCACTCTAAAACTCCTATGGTTTGACTGTTTGCTTTTTTCAAAACTTGTGTTGGAAATGTAATTGCCATTGCAATAATATTAAGAACTCTTTTACAATCTGATGAGGCCACAGGAGCTGTGCTCTCACGAGTGGGATTAGTGCCATTTTAAAAGGGAGAGATTGGTCCCCTATGCTCTCTCGCTCTCTTGCCCTTATTCTTCTTCCTTTATCGTACAGATGCTGGCTCCTTGGTATTGGCCTCCGAAGCCTCAGGAACTGCAAGTCAATACAGATTACTCACTCTCAGGTATTCAGTTACAGCACCATAAATGGACTAGGATAATAACCAAACAGCTCTTTCTATCATCAGTCCTGTTCACTAGAAGTAGACGTGTGATTTAGTTGCCATCTGTCAAATGTACCTGCTGGAGGCTGACATTCAGGAAACCGCCAAGTGAGGAAATGATGTGTGTATGACATTCGCTGCACTGGGTGCAGGTAGCAGCAGGAGATTGTATTTCTGGGGTGCAGGGGTATGGCAGCTGTTGGCTGAGTCAGACGGAGCTCAGTTCTGTATTGTTATCAGTGTCAGTCTTCTTGCTAAGACAGTTGAGAATTGCACTTCTTGAAGTCATTCCTGGAAGCTCAGCCTGGAGCATGATCAAGGTTTCATAAGCTTCTTACTTATTTCATATAAACCTCTCCCTCCTTAATTTAAGAAGAGTCGGCTATTTTACCTTCAAATAAGAGCTCTAACAGATCTCAAGTGACTCAGCTGGTTGTTCCAAGAAGGGTCCCCAGACCTGTGCTAAAACCCGTCGATGCATTTCATGCCCTTGGCCACAGTGAGTGTTCATTACAAGCACTTGGCCTCATGAGGGGCAGTGAGTTGCAATCCTGAGAGTTTTGTTTGAGTAACTGAGATGCAAGATTGTTATGCCTCTGGGTTAGCTTAAGAAACTCAGAAGTAAACCCACAGGACACTGAACCTGAGGGCTGTGTCTTCTTAGGAATGAAAAGGGTGTGGGAAGTGGGAGTACAGTAGGATAATATTCTAATAAAATCATTCTATCCACTTGATCTAATTTTGTCTCAAATCAAGCATTCCCTAGAATTTTCACTTATGAAAATCAATGCGCTTTCTTTTTTGTTTGAATCATTTCACTCTAGTATTCTGCCAGTTTCAAAAGCATTTATGAATATCCCATATAAGAACCAGTGCTGCACAGATGAGTATAAAGAATTGTTGCTCTTGAGTAGTAGAGAGGGCACATTTTTCAACAGCGAACAGTGCAAAGCCTGCTAGTATAAAGGGATATGAAAAACTCAGGGGAAGGACAGTTTTGTGAGAAAGTTGCAGCAACTGGGGAGATTGATTATCAGGGAGGATAATTAATTGCTCTGGAATGAATTGTCAAAAATTAATAGAATAAGTGAGCTGACAATATGAAAAAAAATGCTCTGACAAACCTCAAAGCAGACTACAAAGTTTGTTGAGAAGGGAGTTATGCAATAGAAAAATAGCTGAATTATGTCACCCAGAGCCTCTTGAGGAGCCCTCACTTTCTGTACCTACTCTTTAGTGAAATTGCGCTTTTAAAAATGCCTGTTCATGCCGGCGCCATGGCTCACTAGGCTAATCCTCCTCCTTGCAGCGCCGGCACACCGGGTTCTAGTCCAGGTCAGGGTGCTGGATTCTGTCCTGGTTGCCCCTCTTCCAGGCCAGTTCTCTGCTGTGGCCAGGGAGTGCAGTGGAGGATGGCCCAAGTGCTTGGGCCCTGTACCCCATGGGAGACCAGGAGAAGCACCTGGCTCCTGCCATCGCATCAGCGTGGTGCGCCGGCCGTGGCGGCCATTGGAGGGTGAACCAATGGCAAAAGGAAGACCTTTCTCTCTGTCTCTCTCTCTCACTGTCCACTCTGCCTGTCAAAAAAAAAAAAAAAAAAATGCCTGTTCATAATTTCCTTGAAGTCTAGTCCATGTTCTTATTGATTACTTGTGGTGTGTATTTGCACACAAAAGTTCAGGACAAGAAAGGAAAACACAGAAGGAAATGCTTTGTCATTGTATGAACAAGTCAGGCAAGGAAGTCTTGCGCCTCTTCCCTTGAAGTCGTAACTATCATGGTTTCTTTATGAAGGTGAAATAAAATGTCAAATTTACTTTCAATGCCCAAAGTCTCTCTTAAATGGGGGCAGTCATCTAATTAGTCACCTTAATCATCACAGAAGCATGCACTCCAGTGTTCCCACTAGCTCAAACATCATGACTTTCTAGATGAAGTTCTTCTTTAGTGCAAGATTGAAGTGTCCTCTTGAAACTTTTTATCAGGATAGACAATCCACTGAGAAGTGTGTGATTGCTCAAAATGTCTTGGTAATAAGCAATATTCAAGGCACTCTTTTAAGAAAAATCCTTACAGAATGAAGAGAGAATTTTTTTTTAGATGGTGAGAGTGACAGTTGCTATCAGAGTGTGTCCCACGTAGGATTTAAAGATAATGGAAGGAGACAGTAGTGGGTAGACTAGCATTTATATGTGCCCTTAAAAGAGAACAAGTGATTTTTTTTGGTTAAAGAATAAAGCATGTAGTAGGAAACTATGAAATTCCACTTTTGTAATACGAATGTACCTGTTTAAGTGAAAGTGCTGAAATACGAATAAGCTATATTCTTGATAACATTGAAGTAACAGAGAACAAAGGTAAAAAGCTAGAGGGAGGATATCTATATGGATAAAAAATCTCCTAAGAACTTTATTCAAGATATGAATCAACAGAAATGTTGAACCGTCTCACGTGAGTTAATAGGACACTGGCATTAGGGCTGACGGGGTGATTCAGAGAGGTAACATTTAGCAGTATTTCTCATTAGGAGATGAATTTCACTGAGGAAATGTAAGTTCACAGAGGAGCAGATTACTTTTCAGAAAGCTTCAAATCAACCAATAATTTAATAAAAGAAGTAGGAAAAAACATTAAAACAGATTTATAAGGGCTCTTTCTTCTGAGACTTGAAACTCTTTAAATAGCGCTGCCGTTCTCTTTCAGAGAATAGGTGATAAACTGCTTACGTTTAAAGGTAGTCAGTTCTTCCCAGGCCTGAGATGCTTCGTCAGTGCTCCGCACTCTGATCCATGGTAGGATCATCCACGGAGCCTTCCAGTGATGAGTAATTTACAGAATATTCAACGTGGTATTAAGCCGCCATTGTAAACATTTGAACTGCACAGCACCCCTCTGAACAGTAAAGTGGGCAGTGCTCTCGCTTGCTACATTCTGAAAAATCTGTCCATGTCAATTAATCGAATCTGCATTATAAGAATAAGAGGTGGCCATTATTGTCACTATTTTTTACAGATGAGGAAAATGGGGCAAGATAGGGTAAGCCACAGCTTTCTTGAGTGCTCTGACATGGCCCAGGATCTGAACCAGATACCCAGATCTCATGCCTTGACACATGGCACCCCTGTGCTTCTCACACAGTCTAGATTTTGTCAAATAAAGTGCTAGAAGCAGAGAACCCACTAATACAGATTCTTCTAGTTCATGCTACTTTTAATTTGCAAAGGAAACTATTTTCAAGACCACTTCAGTAAAGGATGATTTGCCTACCGCAAGCCAATCATCAGCAAATGTCAAGGAAACATTTATGAATCACTGATATCAAACCTAATGTATCCATGATTCTCTTCTGGGACCTGGCCCAGTGCTGCAGCACTGACGATTCCCGTGCATCCTCTCAGATTGCTATATCCACAGCCTTCCCTCCTTGTCTGGGTCAGTGCTGCATTCCTTCCGGTCACCCTCCCACTTCCACCCTCCAGAGTAGCCACAGATGAGCCTCAGGACAGGTTCCAGACTCTTGTAGGGTTTAGCATTCCACCACAGCAACTTGAACCAGTGAGAGATGAGAAGGTGGATGTAGGAGAACCAAACACCAAAGTCCTCCTCCTCCTTCCCTGACCTGTTCTGAGGGACTTTCCTCTTGTCTAGTTACCGAGGGAAACCCCAAGTGGGTTTACACCCATTGTGTCCTTTGTAGCTTTCTGAAGAGTGGACATTTCTGCTGATGAAGCATCAAGTAGATTTTGATCTTTCACTGCCCTACTTCCTGTTCATTTTATCCTTGTCCTTTCCTCTCTGGCAAGCTTGTCTCCGATGATTACATTTTAGCCTTTGTGTCAGGCTCTGCTTCTGAAGGACTGGAGCTAAAATACAATATCCAACTCTGTAGAATTGAGGTTCTCTTCTGAAGGAAGAAGGGAGGTATTTGTCCAGTAGAAAAATTAATATCTGCTCCATTGCCAAAATTGAACTGGGGGAACTTGGTTTCAAACATTGATTTATGAAACTCCAAACTCTCTATTCCTGAATACTAAGTTGAATTGTATTAGCATAAGCTCACATGTCACTGCTCTATTTTCTGAGTTTCTGTCACAAAATTCCAGGGAAAAACAGAACCAGGTGTTCGATTTCCTCTGACTCTATTCAATGTCCATGAAAGAGAGAGACAGAGAATGAGAATGAGGGAGAGGGAGAGGTAGGTAGGTAGGTAGGTAGGTTGTAGACATCTTGCCCTGCCAATTCCTGGTAATTATTCCCAGTCTGAGAGCTTGATTGAAACTTGTCTTCCCTCCTCAGTCACTGTAATTAATCTTCTGTGATGCGTAAGAGTCTCCTGGGATGAAATGATCCCCATGCTAATGCTTTATTCCTCTGGTTCACCAGGTGTTCTTCACCAAGGAAGGGGAATTGAATTACACAATAATCATGTACCTTAATTTATAATTTGAAACGATATTATCTATCAGCCCATCCATATGCAGTACCAGTTAGAGTCACTGACAGTGACAGAATCTTACCTGTAACTTCTGTTTGAGTTTGGATATGTGATTGTAAAGCACTCTTATTCTTACCAATCCCCACTTACTATTCTTGGACCCATGTGACATTGTGAATTCCAGTAATTATTATGTGACATCCCAAGTTGTCAAATCATGGAAGAGCCAGGTGATGGTTGAATGGGATTCTGAGATTCAGAGAAGCTAGGGGCAATATAACTCAGATTGTCAGGGTCAGTGTTTTCTGACCCTAAGCTGAAGAGAGCACACAGGCCAATTTGTAACCTGTGAAAGATATAGGTCCATGTGGAAAACAGAGGTTAATGGGAATCCATAAAGTCAGTGGGCATGGAAGACAGGCCTGATTGGCAACTGGTTTGTATTTCTGGCTGGAATGTATCTCCCCACCATCCAAGGTCCCAAGTTTTGAGACAGCCTGGAACCTTCCTTTCTGTACAGTCACAA